GTCCCGCGGTGGGCCGCCCCCGCCTCCCCGTCAGTGCCAAATTTGTGGCGGTTCTAGGATGTGAAAGCGGCCTCGTGTCTTCGCTTTACAGCAGTTCCCCAGCATCAGCAGGAGGCAGGAGATGATTGTCTTGAGTCTCTTGTAGATGTTGTGAGTGTTCAATTCGGAAGTCCCCCTTAACTCAGAAATAATGATCCAGAGCAGAGTATGGCGGTAATGGCAACCAGGACCTACTTGCTGAGCGCTTGTCCCGAGCCGCGCGCTGTCCTGAGTAGCTTACTCGCCTTAACGCGTGTAATCTTCACTGCCGCCGTAGGCTTGTAAACGCTGTTTTCATCCCAGTTTATTTTTTAACAGATAAGAGGGGAAGTGAGATGCAGTGGGGTTTAATAACTTACTTTGGGTAGCTAAGCAAGTGGTAGAACTCCTTTGGGGCTCGCGCTCCTCTGTTCTGGGTACATTTTGCTTGGCTGTCATTGTTACCACCATAGATGGTACAGTCGCTTATTTCGTTAAAAGGTGTTGGATGCTAGGATTTTAACTTTTACATACTTTTACACTGGTGTACAATGGCGGGAAGCTACTGTAATTTTGAATCAAGTTATTCCTGTTAGTGTTAACTTTTTAGAGATTGGAGTTGTAACCTGGAATTTGGGTGTGAGATTATAGTGTCTTAAGGTGTAGTGGAAACGGAATTAAAAAGAAGTAGGTTTAGCCGACTGAACTAAGAAATTAGTGACTAGAGGGAAGAGGATTCACACATTTTTCCTTTGTTTTTTTGTAGAGTTAGTCTTTACATCCAGTTCTGTACCACAAATCCCAAATATGATTGTGGCTTATCTGATAACTACTGATACTTCTTTAAAAGGACCATTTTGAAATAGACAAGACAGTGAATTTGGGCGCCTGAAAAATAAATACTGATCTTTTTTAATTTGGTTTAATTTTTGTAGTAAATTTAGAAAGCACAAATAAAAAATGTTAGGTGAGTATGTTTTGGTGATTTTCACAAATTATAACCAAAACCATTATGATGTTTCACACTTGGAACATGTGATTAGTCCTATAAATTTATCGAAATAGAATGAAAATTGTTACGATTACTTTCTTCCCTTACATTTACTTCTAATCAGCAATTAGATAAGGCTTAAAACATGACACATTTTTAATCTTGTGTAGAAGTTTCCCTTCACAGCTCTCAGGTAATAATTGTAAATGAAATTGTGTATGGGTAAAGACTTCTGAATTAAAGAAAGCAGCAAAAAATTCAATAAATCTGTTTGTCAGCTGTCATTTAAGAAAAAGAACAGGGCACAGTGTAATATATTGGATTTGAAAGAGTAACTAGTTAGATTGATAGAGAAATGAAGCACTGCGTTTTCAACATAATTTTATCCCATCAAAGGAATTTCCTAACGTATTTGCCAAGGTGATTAAACAGACAAAAAAATATATTTCTTTCTAAAATATTTTTGAGAATGTTATCTCTGAAATTAAATCTTGGGTTTTGTTTTTTTTTAATGTGCATTAAATTCCTTTTATCAGTTTAACAACTTTGGTATCATTGGTCAAAAAACATTTTCTCTGCTAATGTAGCAAATACCAAAAGTTCTGGGTTATGGATGCTGACGATAGTGATATTTATTGTTCAAACATACCAGGAAATTTGTGATTTATCTGAGGCTTATGCATTTGTAGATTGATCTGGATACTATTGATGTCAGCAACCTCAACAGGCAGTTTTTGTTTCAAAAGAAACATGTTGGAAGATCAAAGGCCCAGGTAACTGTATTTCTCATACCATTTCTGTTTATCTATTCATTTATATTTTTATCCTGTGATGGATCTTCTATTTATGGCATCAGATTAATTTGGACTCTAGTAGGAGGAGAATATGGGAGAAGCCATTTCTTTTTAGCTGAGGGATTGTAAAGAGTAAAAGACCTCTTTGATAAGGGACTGAAGACTACACCCTCCTTTTTCAGTCTACAGAGGAAATAAAAGTGCTCTACCCAGTCTTTTAAATGGTGTCCCCTTCTTAAATTTCTGATTGTTTACTTGAAATGAAGTTTGTGTCCCTGCATTCCCTAGAGATTGGCTGCTCCTGTATTTGGGGGCAAGAGAAGCTATAATCTATGCTGTTGTTGCTTTTAGAAGACATCCCTTCTCTTGAGGTTCTAGCCACCCTGACCTTTCTTTAGTTCACTGAATATTCCATCTTAAGTCAGGGTTTTGTTTTGTTTTGTTTTAATAGAGAAATGCCTTTATTGAACATCTGCAGTGTTCCAAGTTCCTTAACTGAATTGAGGTAGTTTGAGCTTTGCTTCATAGACGGAGAAGTTAAAGCTTGGAAAGGGTAAATAACACACCCCAGGTCACCAGACAAATAAGTAGCAGGATTGTGATAAGGAGGCTGCTGTGTCTGACCATCATGCACGCTGCCTCCCCTCATCTGAAGTGCAAAACAGGCAGATAAGTCTCAAACGCAGCCTCGTGAGAACTTGCAACCCATCGTAGGGCCTCTGGCTGTCCTTGGCCCAGCCTGTGAGCTGAGCCCTCTTACTTGGGGGTCTCCTGGGGCTGGGAAGCTGTGGCCATCCTTGCAAGGGGTGTACTGAGGCCTTTCATCCATTGGCTATGGCGACCTGCTTCTCCCAGGCTTACTCACTCTCTTCGGCCACAGACAGACGGCCCAATGTGCGTGTTTTTTCCCTCTGGTCCCCAGGTCAGAGAAACAGCACTCCTGAGATGACCCTGTCTGTCACTGAAAGCATCCTCTGCCAAGCCTCCAAGACCTAAAAACATCCACCAACCATTACAGCAGCCTCAGTAGCAGCAAGAATGAAATCAGGGATCCATAAACCAGGCAGAATAATCTTTCAATTCTAAAAGAGAACCCAGGCAGTGGGCAGGAGGACTGGTGGGCAGACTTCTGGAAGGCTTATGGTTCTGCTCGTAAGATTCCATACCCCAGAGGCTAGCAAGGGGACTTTTGGAGACACTTAACGAAGTCACTGTGTCTCCGCCATTGGGCTCATACTGTGAAGGGCAGCTCTAGCTGGCAGGTGGCCTGCTTCCCTCTTCCTCGGCTGGGTTAAAGATGCCAGCTCTGCAGCTCAGACTGGCCCCGAGCACTGTTTATCCCTGCTGGATCCCTAGTTCCCGAACTTGATCAAACACTCACACTTCCAACCCCTTGATTCAGGGTTTTAAAACATCTTTTTCTTTTCTTTTCCCAGCCTTTTGGGCCAACTTTCACTCTTCTTTGCATTTTTCAAATTTTCCCTGGGGGTACTTTCCTAAGTCAGATCTTCCTCTCCTAACAACCTCTACTTTTTCTGTGTGTCATTTATCATAGGTTGTAGTTACAGTTATCTAGATGGTTATTTGATTAATGTCACTTTGGCTCACCAAGTGCATCATACAGATCTGACATGTGGAAGATTTTGTTTTTATATTTCTTTCATTTTTAATATAAGGTATTATGTAAGTAGGTGAAACAACTATTGTCTGCCATAAATAGACTTCATGTACAGATAGAAATGTTAATCATAATTTAGTAAATTAGTAATTTAGTGTTGTTTGTTTTTCCAGGTTGCCAAAGAAAGTGTACTGCAGTTTTATCCGAAAGCTAATATCATAGCCTACCATGACAGCATCATGAAGTATGCTCTTAATTATTATGTTGCAAGATTGTGTTTGCTGGGAATGTTTAATTGAATTTTTAAAGTATAAGATATTTTTATTAGCTAAATGTATGAACTGTCATTCTACTTTTTTTATAATTATTTTTCTAGAATAATTAAAATGTGATAGGTTGTACCCACATAAGTGGCATTCTTTTAACAGTTAATATATGTTTAATTTGAATGATTTAGATAAGAAGTGTGTTACTTTAATACTTGAAATAAGTTACTTAGAAACTTAAAAGGACTTTATATTCTTGTTTTAAATAAAAAGATATTCTAAACTATGAGAAATCCTTATATGTGATGATTCAGACTTACCTGAATATATTGCTCTCATTCTGATTGATTTCAGCTATGGCCTTTTTCAATGTAAAAGATTCCCTCCCAAAATAATTTGTTAGGATTTCAACTTCTGTAATACAAAACTGGGGATTGTGATGGGGCAGTAGTTTTGACGGTACATAAATACACTCTAATTTCAGTAAAGATAAATAGAGTAAATACATAATTTTAGAGGCATTGGGGCAAAGGAACCCCAGGCTTAAAATATCCTATATCTATAGTTGTCCAACCCACAAGTAAATGGGATTAAAAACAATGAATTCTTGTTTGAGGCCTGGAACTAGAGAGTCTTGTGCTTTCTCGGGGAATTTGTGTCTCCAGCTTCCTTTTTATTTTCTGGATGTTTGCTCTACAAGTTTGCCTATAGCCCTACAGCGTCCTTACCCTGTGTTGCTTTCCCAGTGCTGCTAAAAGCAGGGACCCTAGGGGCCTGAACCCTGCCTGATCCTGACCATGTGAGGTGAAGCCAGAGGCCAGCCAGATCCTGGGAATGTATCCTTTGTATGTTCCCAGGCACTTGCTGCCCAAGAAGGCCTGGTGGGACTAGTGAAGTCATGCCAGTTTGAGACTCTGCTCTTGTGCCCTAGATAGCTGGCCAAAAAGGATGTATAGTCACTCATAGGAATTAGGGGGAAATAGTTTTTTTCAGTTTGTTTATGATGTTTGGAAAAAGTCAAACCTGTCTATGTGGTAGAGACCCCTAATATCAGTTATTTGTACTTTTATTTAATATGCTTTTTAGGACCCTGTGTTATACTGTGAAGCTCATGTGTAAGGCTAGTTGTTTTGGTGACCTTTTGTTTTGTTTTACTTTGTAGCCCTGACTATAATGTGGAATTTTTTCGACAATTTATATTGGTTATGAATGCTTTAGATAACAGAGGTGAGATTATTTTAATACTTCTCATTCTAAATATTTCCCTTTCTTCATAACAAGGTTGTTTACACATTCAGTATTAATTTAGATATTTCCTTATGAGCTAGAACTTAAAAGACCTAAAAAGGGAAGTAAGATCAGGTTTAAAGCTTGTCAGTTGATTATAATTTTAACTAGAATGAGTGTGAATATAGGGGAAGTTAAAATCTTTAAAGAAGATGAATGCACAGCCTTGTACATGCATGTTTGTTGCAGATGGTCCCAGCGCTTAAACACAGGGTAACCTCCTTTATCTACGTGGGGATCTAAGAAACGTCGGTGACCAGACACCACCTAAGACTCATTAAATCAGACCCTGTGCATGAGACCTGAAGATCTTATTTTTCCAGAGTGACCCAGATGATCTAAAGTGCAGTTAGGGCTGAAAACCACTATTTTAAGAATGAGGCAACAGGATGGCAAAGTTAGCATAGAAGTCATGGCTCTGGAATTATGTTAGGTATATCTGGTGTTGTAAGATATCAGGCTGGATTCTATTACAGTGCACAGTTAGGTCATTTAAGCTTTCTACAATATGGGTGATATTTCATATAATCAAGTATTGTATAGCCAGTTTTTAACAGATCTGTGAGTCTGGAATGTAAATACTTAAATGAGAATGCTTCGTAATTCTCTGTAATTTCTTCCACATGATAAAGTATATCTGTCAAGTGAGTTTGTAACAATTTGGGGCCAGAAATATCAAAAGAAAAATATACAAAGTAACATGAGAAAGAGTCAGGATGACTCTTTTAACTGGATTCATCTTTTTCCCCCTAACCTTAAACTGCCTTAATAGTTCCAAATTGATATCCATATTGTCTGTTCACTTCCATGTATTACCTGATATTTATATTAGAATAAGAGCAAGTGAAGGACTTGGGGAGCATGGAAACAGTGTTGTAGCCAAGGTTAATGGAAGTAGGCACAGCAGTACAAGAGGAAGATGGCACTTTGGAATTAAAAAATGATACATAGGTGGTGCTTTTCCTGGAGTAAATTTGTGGCATAAATTTCTTATGTTTGAAATTTTGTTGGTGAATGTCTCTTAAATGTCTATAGCAGTTATATTATTCTGATCATAGCTATAAGAAAATGGTACATGAAATAAAAACAAAAGATACTTTGGGTAAATTTCATCCTAGTTAAAGGTAACTACATAATTTTCTTCTGTTTTTTTCCGTAAACTCCTGCTAACTAGTGTTTTTCTTGCAGCTGCCCGCAACCACGTTAATAGAATGTGTCTAGCCGCTGATGTCCCTCTTATTGAGAGTGGAACTGCTGGTTATCTTGGGCAGGTAACCACTATCAAAAAGGTAAAGAAGTTTTGGTTTGTTTTTTTTTAACTTCCTAGATATTTATTTGGGACATTAAAGAGGGAAGAAATAAACTTTGGATTCATATAACAGGATGTGAGAATTTTTTTGTGCCCATTTAAACTTGGGATGCTGTAAAGGCACCCACAAAGAGTATAGGCAGAGATCTTTAAGCTCCATGCTGCTTTGTTTCGTGAGGCTTGTGTGTTAAAATCCTTCGGCTGGCAAGTGTACTAAGCTTGTCTTAAAATTCTTGGTAGCCATGAGACTATATGTCATGCTATAGTTCATATATGGTAAACCGGCTTTCTAGAAAGTTACTTACTGTCTGAAGTGGATTTAAAGATTTAGAAAGAGCTGAAGAGTATTTTGAAGACTTCTTTTGGTGTATTTGTGAAATATTTCAAACGTATAGATAAAACTAGACAATAAGAACAAATACCTGTGTGCTTATAATCCTGTCTTATACAATCTCAGCATTGTTACTCATTTGCTGTTCAGGTCTTTTTTCTTTTAGTTCTTTCTAGAAATTAAACAGACACATTTGAAGAATCATTTTGCAGGTTTTAAACTAAAAGAATTTATACTCAAAGTTTGTTATTTTTGTCTTCTATTTGGCAGTTTACCCATGCTAAAAATTTTTGCTCTATTTCAGTTATTTTTACTGTTTAATATTCTTTGGAAGCTTATTTCATGTCATTCCACAAAGACTTGTAAATATCAGTCTGTATTAAATGTTAAATCACTGGAGGCCTTCAGGATCTGTTGCTAGGTCAAGGCAGTAGTTCTCTTCTTTATCCACTGTGATGTGAGGGATCCACTGCCATATGGCCGCCCCCAAGAAAGCATATTGGAAGGACAGCAGAAATGACATTATGGAGAAAACCCTGGATCTGCTGCAGTTTTTATTAAAATGATATTTGCAGGTTTGGGGTTTTTAACCATTATTAGAAGAACATTACTGTGATCCTGAGACACATGTATATTAAGACTGAGATTGAGAATTGCTGAGATGAAGAATATTCGTTTGATAGTTTGGAAAATTGTCTCAGGTGCTGTAGACTTCTTTCAGGGATTCCTTACAGTGTAACTTTAACCATAACCCCTTAGCAACAAAATGAAGAGTATTTGGTTTGGCAGTACCTGAGATTTTTCCATGTGTCTCAGTAGCTCTAGAAATTAATGCTTTTAAGTTCACTTAATCTTTAGGAGCTTGTAAGGTAAAGCTACAAATAATACTTAAATGACTGACTTTCACAACTTTGAGAGATGACTGGTTGGAAAGCTGGTGTTTGTCTTTCTAGTAGGTTTCCTGTCTGTTTAGTGTGACCAAGGTAAACTGCTTGTGTTTGGTGTTCAGGCGCAGTCGTTTTTCTCTGGCTTGTTGTGAGCAGTGGTCCCTGGGCCAGGAGTCAGAGGAGTCCTGGCTTAGCCTTAGCTGTGACTGTGTTAGATGCAGTTAACTTCTGTGTGCCTTTCCTGTAAAGTAAGGATTTTGGAGTCACTAATACTTTAAAATTTTCTTGACAGTTGGAACGTAGATGAATGAATGAAATGTTTATGATTATTATATTACCTTACAATATTGAGAAACCACCATCATGGGATAAATATTTTTCTCATATCCTGACTTTGCAGGGTGTGACTGAATGTTATGAATGTCATCCCAAACCAACCCAGAGAACTTTTCCTGGCTGTACAATTCGTAACACACCTTCAGAACCTATTCATTGCATCGTTTGGGCAAAATATTTGTTCAAGTAAGAGTATATATATTTCTGGGCATATTTTTAGTACTGATGATGGAAGATGGAGTCATTTTTATTTAAATGCCTTGGAGAAATTGTACTTACGATGAAGCTTGGTCTGACTGGAGACAGGCATGTAACTAAATGAATACAGATGTATGTATTTAGAAACATAAAAACATAAGTAACTCATTGGTTAAGAAATGTAATGAAAATTTTAAAAAATACTTTGTAATAACACTGAAAATACTACATGTGAAACTTGTAGGGTGCATTGGATGTGGTGGTTGGAAGAAAAGTTACAGGCCTACACATGTGAGGGAGGGTGAACATTAGTGAGTGAAGGATGCAACTATGTTAGAAAAAGAACATAATAAACTCAAAAAAATTAGGAGGTGATGCAACATTGTAAACTGACTATACTTCAATAAAAAATATACCAAAAAAATTAGAAGGAAGAGTATAATTGAGGTAAGGACAAAAAATATAATCGGTAAGTTTGATCATGAAAAGGAGAGGAGATAGATAACTAAATGGGGACTGTAATCTCAAGACAGATTAGAATAATAAAGAAAAAAAGGGATGTTGATAAAAGAAAAACAGGCCAGTGCACTTAAAAACTTCATGATTGGATAGATTCATTAAAAAACAACTTACAGAACTGACTAGAAAAGAAATCAAATAGTTCTGTGCCTTTGGGAAATTTAACCAATGGTTTAAATTCCTCTGAATAATACACCAAACCTATGTGAGTTTACAGGTGATTTCCACTGAATTTGTAAGAAGTATATTATTCTAAGCTTATATAAACTCTCCCAGAGAAATTTTTTAAAAAACTGAATACTTATTTCATGTTATGGGGCTAGCTTGTCTTTGAGAGCAAGGCCACTTAAGGCTATTATGGGAAAAAGGAAAATTGTAAGACATTGTCATTCATAAATGTAGGTGAAAAAAATCCTATACAAAACATTAGCATAGGAATCTAGAATGGTGTAAAACAGTAAGTGTACCATGACCAAGTTGTATTTATTCTAGGAGTGCAAGCGTGGTTTAACAGTAGCAAAATCTATAAATACCATTTACTTGATTAAGAAATTAAAGAGAAACTGTGTAATCTTAGTAGATGTAGGAGACGCATTTGGTAAAATTCAGCAAACACCCTTTCATGACAAAAATTCTTAGTAAAATACGAGGAGAACTTTATCAGCCTGGTAAGACAGCTCCTAGGAACCTCCAGCAAACTTTGGTTTATTTTTTGATTGAGGTATAATATATTTACCCAGTAAAGTACACATATAACACTATGACAAAATTTCACAGGAAACATATTTGTGAGCTTTATTTGGCAAACATTTTTTTTCTTCTTAATAACCTTTACTTTTTAGAACAGTTTCAGATTAGAATAATTGAGAAGATAGTGCAGAGCTCCCAAACCCAGTTTCCTCTGTTGTTAACATCTTATGTTAGTATGATACATACATATAAATGAACCAGTATTGATTGATACATTATTAGTTAACTGATGTCCATAGTTTATTTAAATCCCCTTAGTGTTTTTTTTTTTTCCCCATATGTCAGGAGAGGTAATTGTTGTATTTTTTGGTGACGGTACTGGGGGTCGAACCTGGGACCTTGGGCATGCTAAACAGGTACTGTGCCGCTGAGCTGTAACCACCACCACCACCACCACCACCACCACCCCCAGCAAATCTTAGTTTTTACCCACTATCTTTTTCTGTTCCGGGGTGTCACATTATAATTAGTTGTCATGTCTCGTTAGGCCCCCCTTAAGGGGGCTGTGACGGTTTCTCCGAGTTTCCTTGTTCTTGATGACCTTGTTAGTTTTGAGTACTGCTCAGGTATTTTGTAGGATGCCCCACTCTGGAATTTGTGTGATGTTTTTCTCATCATAATACTGTGGTTATGGGTTTTGGGAGGAAAACCACAGAGGTAAAGTGCCATTTTCATCACATGTGAAGGGTACATGGGATTATTAATGTAGCCTTAATCACTTAGGGTGGTGTTTGTCTGGTTTCTCTGCTGTAAAGTTACTCCCTCCTCCCCTTTCTATATTGTCCTGTCCCTTCTCACTCATTAACGTCAGTGTGGATTCACCGATATTGAATATATTTTATAGTTTGAATTATAATCTAATAGTTTATTTTATTGCTCAAATTGTTCCAGCCTTGGCCTTTGGGAGCTTTTCAGTTGGCTTTGTGCTCTTTGGCATACCACCATCAGTGTGTGTTTTTTTGGAACAATTTCTTACTTTCTGGTACTACAAGGTGCTTCAGGCTCATCTTGTATATTTCCTGCCCCAATCCTAGAATCAGACATTTCTCCGAGGAGCCCTGATCCTTTCATTGAAGAATGACTTTAGAAACCAAGATAGGAGTACTTAGGCATGCTGCTGGGGTATCATTTCTTTTAGGCCCTCTTAGCTGTCAGCAAAAAATACGTTTATACTAATTTGTGTAAATATAATATCAACTTGATTCAGTGCAATTCTAATTAAAACCTTGGGGATTTTATTGGAACTTGTTCAGTTGATTCTAAAATTTATATGGAAGAATAAAGCCTAAGAGGAACCAAAACATCCCTGGAGAAGAGTATGTTGAGATGACTTGCTTTAACAGATGTCAAGATTTAATATAAGCTAAAAATAATTTAGTGGTTTGCTGGTACAGGGACAGAAAAACTGATAGCGACTGAGGTTGCATAGTAGATCCCAGATGAAACAGGGGACTAAATAAAAGGGAAAGCAGTTCATTGTCAATGTGGGAAAAAATTATATTCTGTGCTTCAGTCAATATTTATAAATAATATATAGAAATTAAGACCAAGTGTATTAATTATCTAGATGTGAAAGGCAAAACTTTGGAGTGTTCTAATATAGGAGAAAATCTTTATCCTTATCCTTGGGGTTAAGGAACAATTTCTAAAGATACAAGTGCTAATCTTAAAAGAAAGGATTAATACGTTCAAATTTATTAACTATGTCATCAGGAGACATTAAATGATGTGCAAATAATAAGCTATTATATGGGAAACAATATCTGCAACATATAAGCAACTAAAAATTGTGATCTGGAGTATATTTCAGTTATCAGTAAGAAAAAGATAGCGTGACAAAATAATACTAGCAGGCATTTTTTTTTCACCTAAGGGGGAACCCAAATAAGCAATAAGTAAATGAAGATATGTTTATGAGAACTAATACATGTATGTTACTATATGACTAAAGTATTATTGTGTTGTACAACAGAAATTGACACAACATTGTAAACTAACTACACTTCAATAAAAATGTTAAGAATTTTTAAAAATGAAGATATGTTTAACTTTGTAATTAACTTGCAAAATTAAGAATAAAACCACAATAACAACTATTTTATATTCACTACTTGGACAGAACCTATAAATGTGGAGAGGAAGTGAGTTGATAGGAGCTCGTACATGCTGTTGTGGGGTGTATATGGTGGTACAACCACTTTGGAAAACAAATGGCCATTTTCTTGTATCAGGATCTTTGAAATTTTAACTGGACAAAGGATTTCTTTAAGATAGCTTTATTATTTAAAAAAAAGATAGCTTTATTATAAATCATGTGCTTCAGTTAAGATTGACAAGTTACATTTCCTAAGTGTTTAATAACAATTTTTAGGATAACTTGATTAACAACAGAGAATTTCACCTTAATACTTTTCTGTTATTTCATTAGACTCTTAGGTAGTGAAGATACATAATATGAGAAAAATGTCTTATTCAGTGAGTTTCCTACACCTGAAGCAGTGCCTGGCACAAAATAGGTGTGTCAGTGTTTGTTGAACAGCTAGCTGCAGGTATACTTTGCAAACATTATACTGGCAATAGAATGTTATGTACGTTGGAATGTAAAAACTGCTTACCTGTCTCTTAATCGAAGATTTTAACATAGGAATTTGCAGAGCCTAGCTGACAGAAATGAATATAGGTCTACTAAAATTTAGCCTTGTCTATGTTGTTGAAATGAGGATGCAAGTTGTTTTAAACAGATTGCTGTAGTACATTTAGGTTTACAGAGTATAATTTATCAGTTGTTTCTTTTTTATCCTTACAGAAGATTTGAGATACTCTAAGTTAGTTGTTTGTGAGGAAAGTAGGAAAAGTCAACATTTGTTCAGAATACTTTGCTGTACTTAAATATTTACTACTCTTAAATTATAGCCAGTTGTTTGGGGAAGAAGATGCTGATCAAGAAGTGTCTCCTGACAGAGCTGACCCTGAAGCTTCCTGTGAGTAAACTACTTGGGATATATTTTCTTATTAATGAGCACTATCTTTATGTTGCTAATTTATTGACAGCTTAAAAAAAACGTAACTGCTGTTACGTGCTAGATAATATGTGCTTAAGATGTATTATTTCATCTTTAAGTCAATATTTTAAAAAAATGGTGGTGCCACTTTACTGGTGAGGAAATCAAGATGCAGAGAAATTTCACAGATCTAGTAAATAGAGCTGGGAGTTGTTCCCAGATCTGACTATGGGTCTGTACTCAGAATTGCTCTGCATATAGCCTTCAGAAACTGGGGTAGAAAAAGATGCTGATGAGCATGTTACAATCCTTTCTCCTCGAACTCAGACTCTGTCACACACATCCTTGTGACTTTCATGAGTGACTCTTTTTTTCCCCAAGAAGTGGATGAGAATTTAGTTCTCCATTTCCTACAGTTGAAAGTAAAATGGTGTTTGTTTTGTAGGGGAACCAATGGAAGCTGAAGCCAGAGCCAGAGCATCTAATGAAGATGGTGACATTAAGCGTATTTCCACTAAAGAATGGGCTAAATCAACTGGATATGATCCAGTTAAACTTTTTACCAAGGTTGGTACTTTCTTTATAATTGTGGGTAGATTTTTGTTATTCTGTTTGTTTTAAACTAGTCCATGAATTACACTCCTTTTTATGTCTAATGCTGTTTTAGTAACGTCATTGATGTAGTTGGGATAAACAGGTTTTGAAATTTTAGCATCAATACTAAATCAGTATAGCATCATTATGGAAGGTAAAATACAGAGACTTGCTTATACACTCGTGGTTGTCTTTCCTTACCTCACTTTTACTGAAATTCTTGGTTCTCCTTATAACTGACCTTTGATTCCTGCCTGCTGTTGCTTGTCTGTTATCCCTTTTCCACTCAAATCTTCTATTGACAGTTTGATTGACATGCACAGGTCCCATTGTCCTAAGCAAATGGCCAACTGCTACCTCCATCTTCTATTTCATCCGTTGTCATAGACTGATTCTCTTAAACCTATTGATTTATTTCCTCACTGCAGCCTTTTCCTTGGAAAATGGTTTTTATTTTGATGACACTTAAAATGCACTTAACTCTGATACGAATAGTGACAGTATTTTCCAAACCAGTGTCCATGTACCAGCTTCCATTCCAGTCTGAGCAACAGTTGAATGCCTGAATAATCTGAAGTACATCTTCAGTCTGTTGTTCAACTGGTAACTTTTAACATCTGCTGTGTGCCAGGCACCGCAAGTACAGAAGATTTAGTGGTGAACAAGACAGAAAATAGGGTCCCTGCTCTTTGTAGGGAACTCATAGTCTAGAGGGCAAGTTAAACATTGAACAAGGAATTTCAGATTCAGAGTGTTAAGCCATTAAATTTGAATGCGTTGAAACCCTCTAATAATAAGTTGACTTAACCCACTTATCTAAATAATTAGACTTAGTATGAGGGTTCAGAAGAGGCTGTCCAGAGGAAGTGATATTTCAACCCAAAACTTTAAAGAGTAAGGTGGAGATGAGAGGGCAGAATATCCAAGAAAGTTGGGTTGGAGAACTGAAAAAATCCCATTAAAGGGGAAAGTGGAGAGAGGACTGACAAGGCAAGCTGAGGCTAGATCATGCAGGACTTCCTGGGTCATGATGAGGATGTTGTGCCAAGATGGTGGGAGTCCGTAAAAGGGGAGTCTGTAGGATCACTGGAAGGTATAGAGGGTCTAGTACACCCTTGAAGGAGCTGATCTTCCTCTTGTAACCAGTATGGGACAGTGCCTTCAGAAGCTATGCAGTACCAGAGTCATCTAAAGTACAGCCCATCTGCTTTCCCAGTGGAGTATGGAGGGCAGATAGACTCAGCAAGGCTTTGTATGTACAAAATGAGGAGCCAAACCTGGTTTCCTGCTGGGCAGCAGGTGAACAGGGGTGCCATTCTCTGAGGTAGCAGGGTGGGAAGCAGATATATATGTAGGGGTAGGAGAAGGTGATAGAATTAATTTTGAGATTCCTCTGGAATATTAGAGATGACAGTTCTATAGGCGAGAAGAGTGGTTTCTAGAGGTGTGGTTGGGATTTATATGTTTATGGAAAGAAGAGTGGGAAGACGTTCAGTACACAACTGAGGGACTCCTAGTGTTTAATAATTGGTTAAAGAAGGCCGTGGAGCTTGTGTTTGAGAAACCATGCTAATTCCTCATCGCCTGACAGACTTTTCAGCTAAGTGCTAAAGGTAGTCTACAAAATGTGTAGCTGTATTTGTTACCTGAGTCACATGGGCCTCCCTATTGTTGCCTGTGTACCCATCTCAGATGCTACCAACTCTGTCCTTATTCCTTAGAAAGAAGAAGAAAACTCATAGTGCTCCAAGCTGTGTGATTTTCACACTAAACTGTACTCTAATTATTGGTATATTTGGCTGGTTTTCTAAAGATTAAGAATGCTTAATAAATATTTATTGAATTGAGTATATTTTGATAGAAATAGCTCTAACTCTTAATTTAACCCAATCTAAATTCATACCCGATACACACAATAAATGTGCAGATTAAATCAACTGGAACAATACAGCTAAGGGAAAACTAAAAATATTAAAATCATATATCATGTAAGAAGTGTGATTCATGTGATAGTCTCTCAGGCTACATGTGGTAATGTTTGTTTTTGAAGGAGTGGTTTTGTGTGTTTGAGGTTACTTGTATGGGGGCACGTTTCAAAGACGTTGCAGATGGTTGAGGATTCTGTTTTTGAGCACTACTTTTAAGCTGTGTGTGTGTTACTGATATATGTCCACAAACTTGGAGACACTGCTAACTGGTCTCTGCCCTCAGTGATTGTACTCAGCTCTTGTGGAGTTGGTGTGTGTTTATTTAGTCCCTTGGTTGGTGTGATTATGCTTCCGACTGATCTTGGGAGCTTTAGGGGAGGTGACTTGGGAGGGTGGGGTCAGTCAGCACAATTTCAAGTTCCCTTACTTTGCTTTCTTTAGCATCTGATTTTACCTGTTTCAAATGCAGGTGTTGTGTGTAAAATTTCCTTTTACAGAAGGTTTAAGCTTTTTTTCTTTCTCCCTTTCGAAAAATTGTTAATCTACTAGTATATAACGTGTCTTTAAATCAGAAGATTTAATAGTGTAATGTTTATAATAAATCAGCAGTGTAATTTTGTTGTATTTTATCATCATAGGGACTATAAGGTTCATGGAATTTATCTTTTTTTTTTTTAAGCTTTTTAAAGATGATATCAGGTATCTGTTGACAATGGACAAACTATGGCGGAAGAGGAAACCTCCAGTTCCGTTGGACTGGGCTGAAGTTCAGAGTCAAGGTAAAGGATGTGTTTTCATCTTAGGATACCTAAATTGGAAATTCTCTCATCTGAAGCCTTTAAGTAGTTACGTTGTTTCTTGACAGTAGTGCACATCCATGGTAAGAAATTCAAACAGTTCAGAAAAATATGAAGCAGGAAAATTACTGGAAATCTTTTCACCTAGAGAAATAGTTAACTGTTAACATTTTAGGGACTGTCTTGGTGATAACTCCATGCACACAGACACAGGCAGTTGTGTATGTGCTTTAGGTAAATGCAGTCATACTGTTTATATACTCTGACTTGCTCTTTTCAGTCGGTTTTATTTAACTAGTTCTTATTGGTTAACATTTAGTTGTGTCATTTTCTCTGAAATAAAGTGTCTAATAAGTATATATATACTTCTGTATGATTTTCTCTTTAAGATTTAACTTAGGATCATATTTATAATTTTAAATAAAAGAAAAGCTCTTGTAGGGGGAGGTATAGCTCAGGTGGCAGCATGCGTGAGGTCCTGGATTCAGTCCCCAGTACCTCCTCTAAAAATAATAAATAAGTAAATAAACCTAATTGCCTCTCCCACCAAAAAAAAAAAAAGAAAAAAATTATCGTGACTACTTCCTTACCTTCTCCCCTTCAGTGCTTTATGTCTCAACTTTTTTTGCACAGCATATTGGAACTTAAAAGGTCCCAGGAAACTTGGGGTTCCAGTTCGGAGCAGTTCTCTATAGTAATAGATACTTGACTTTAGGGACCAATTCAAGTATTGTTCTAATAGCTTCCACTTACTGAGTGCCAACTATGTTCTGGGCATATGCTTGTCATCTCATCTACATTATATTTTTGAGTCCTCCAACAATCCCTTATAAGGATTTCTTATATAAACCTTTCTCATATAAATTTTGGTGATTTTCTAGTGCACATATTTGTATCACAGTGATAATTTAATAGTGGTAACTAATTTAATGGAGTTTGTTTCATATTATTTGATTTTTTTAATTAGGCATTGGATTGTTTAAACAGTAGAGGAATGATGCTAATAGTGAGATTTCTAATATTTTTTTCTTTAGGGGAAGAAACCAATGCATCAGATCAACAAAACGAGCCCCAGTTAGGTCTGAAAGACCAGCAAGTTCTAGATGTAAAGAGCTATGCACGTCTTTTTTCAAAGAGCATTGAGACTTTGAGAGTGCATTTAGCAGAAAAGGGGGATGGAGCTGAGCTCATATGGGACAAGGTTTGTTTTGAAAATGTGTGGCAAATATTTTTATATCAAGTGTGTATTTTAGTTCTTAAGCTGTAACAGAAGCTGGTTATTTTGGGATATTGTTTATTCTAACAGATTTTGAGGGTATGCTGATTTTGTTTGGTTAGTCTCATCTATAATACATTGAACTATGAATTTTCTATATATGAATTCAAGCAGTATCATAAAATCTCATTTTAGATTCCAGTACTCTAAAATGGTTTATAACTTGACTGGAGAAATAATGTGAATTCATTGGAGTGAAATATTTCTATGACTTAAAATATACTTAAGAAAAGCTCTTCCTACACAATAGGGATTTATTAATAGAAGTTATAATATCCTTTTGGAGACAAATAGCCCATAGGCCTAATTTGGCCTTGAAAGTAATAAAATAGTCTTTCTGTTGAAATGGTTGTAACCCTTAGAGGTCTGAGAGACTTCTCAATACAAAAATGGGATGTAATTATTTTTACAAGTTAAAGCAATATTTAATACCATTTTTCAGTTAAATATCATATTTTTAAGATTTGATGAGTTAATTTTACTTGTTTTTAATTGTAGTTAATATTTTCTACAGCTATAAGTGATTTATCAGCTAAAGTTTGTATGTTCATATGATGGTAAAAGATCTGACATGAGTTTTAAAGTAAGGAGGAAAATTTGATCAGTTTTAGAAAACTAAGATACTTTGTGTGTGCAGATTTTGGAACTGGTTGATTCAGACATCTAAAATGAAACTACTAAATTTAGATTTTAGGGATTCTTGTAAATATTAATCTAGAGTTAATTGCTGTAAGGAGTAACTATTAAAAAAATTTTGTTACTGTTATAATAGTGATTTGGGAGATTTTCACCTGCACACAGGGGCTAAATAACAAAACCTTGGAACTGGGAATTGTTACCCTCTGTAAGTAAAATCTATACCTAATGAGTGTAAAAGCCAGTTGCCTGGAGAAGTATCTATCTGATGGACACTGTGTTGGGTACTGGATCAATACTTAATCCCCACTACTACTTTACAAGATGTTTGTGAAGTTTTCCCCTGTTTAACAGATTAAGGAATTTTGGGTGAAGGAGGTTCATTTGCCTGTAACCACACAGTCAGACAAGTAATTATGTAAAGAATCCACATCCTATCAGTGTCTTGTCTTTTATATTTTGGTGTTTCTGAATTATGGGTTAGGCTAGCTTCTTTTCACTTCAAAGCAGGAAAACTTGATAAAATCTATAGAGAGACTAGGGTATAGGCTCAGGAAGAATGTGAATTGTAAAGGGAAAACTTGCTGTCTTGCTACATCTGAAAAGAAACAGCAAATGTAGGAGAGTGGTGTACGTGAAGGGACTTCGGAGAAGGAAAGTCCAGGTGCTTCTGAGGCTTTAATGAAATAACTTTCTCAAAACAGCCTATGTCTCCTTCCCTGGGTTCTGTGCTTGTCATAAAACCTTCTCCTTGTTGACTGATGGACACAGGAGAGGATTGCCATCATCAGTGAATGGAGCTGGTACTCTGGTCTGTGTTCTTAGTCCCTAGTGCATTTGTTTAAGCAGGAGCGAATTCCTAGAAGCCTGGTGGCCCTTGGTCAGAGGAACTGATGATGAGCCCCTGCCTGCCCCGTCCTCGTCCAGACTGGCCTCTCCCTCAAGGCCATCTCTGGTTCTGGTTGACTTGTTATAAACATGTCAAAGTGCTGTTCTGAAAATAATACTAGCCACGTTTGTGGGGAGACGTGTTAACTTGTTTAAATTATTGGCAGGATGACCCATCTGCAATGGATTTTGTCACCTCTGCTGCAAACCTCAGGATGCATATTTTCAGTATGAATATGAAGAGCAGATTTGATATCAAATGTGAGTTGTTTTGTACTTCAGTTGTATTGTATAAATTCTAAGCTATGTTTTTCTTTTTAAACAGCTAAACATGTCTTTTTTTTTTCCTCCAGCAATGGCAGGGAACATTATTCCTGCTATCGCTACTACTAATGCAGTGATTGCTGGGTTGATAGTATTGGAAGGATTGAAGATTTTATCAGGAAAAATAGACCAGTGTAGAACAGTGAGTGTTTTCTATTTGCAATTTTAAAATTAAAGCAATAAAATTGGTGTAAAGTAATGGAAAAATAACTGTTCAGGTTACCTTGAATTACATGTTTAACTAAGCTTCATGGAAATTACAGTGAGAAGAAAGACACATTTGCTTTTCTTTTGTTTAAAATGGACACAGACGCTGGTTTGCCTCTAACATTCCCAGTTTTACCGAATTCTTGGAACAACTCATTTAATGAGTCCTTACATTAGGTTTTCTCAATTGTTTTTCAATTCTAAGCGTTCTCTGGTTTTAAAATTTTATTTGGTCATTTTATAGTCCCCTTTTCTTCAGCCATTCTTGTCAGTCTCCTTTTTCATTTTAAATTTATGTTATATTCTTTGATAGTTTTGACGTCTAAAATCTTTATGGATGAGTCTACTGTCACTTCTGCTAGATATCTCTCATAGTGTTTTGTTTGCTTATGTGATACATGATTTTTTTTTAACAGAATTAGTATTTGTCAAAACTTTTATCTGTGATAATTCTTTAAGGACCCATTGAAGGTGTATTTCATTTGGGTGCCTGTGGTCCTACCAACTCGGGACCACTGTTAAATTCTCAGTTCTGACTTTTCAGCCCACATACATATTCAGACAGCAGATCTGCATGAGCCCTATCTTAATGTAATGTATTTATAAAGAAATATATTTCCCCCCTCCACGAAGCTCCAAGATCTGGATAATTTTCCATGCTGTTTTTGTGGGGAAGATACTCTTCTCTTCTTTACCCTCCTCCCCTTCCAGGTCCTTGCTTGATGTAAGCATCTCCTGTCATGAGTTCCTTCATTAGTGAGGGCTGGACTGGGTTTATCTCTGAAGACTAAAGCCACTTGGATATTCTCTTGTGTCCCTCCTGTCGTTCTGTATTGAATTTGCTTGTCTGAAGATGCTTTGCTTTCTTACAGCTTAGAATTTTAAAAACTCCCTAAAAATATTGGACTCAATATTTTGCAGTCGTTCAGGCAGGTGGTTCTTTTTACTATAATGTTGAAATAAAAGGACCATTTACTTTCAGGATTTTCTTAAAAAAAAAACAAAACCTAATCTGCAATGGCACTCTTACTTTTCAGTGCCATTATTGATGCGTTCTTAAAGTATCTTTCACTGTTTTCATGAACTTTTTGGGTGAGAAGTAGGATCATCTGCTGTCTTCATTCAGTTTTCTATTTAAATTTTTATTTTGGCTGTCATGTTTTTAATTTCCAAGAACTATATGTTTTTTGATTTTTGCCTTTTTATAGCAGCTTGAACTTGTCGTGTGATTACAGTATCTCTTTGAACTCTCAAGCAGTGCTAGTTGTTGAAATTGTTAAAGCATCTACTGTTTCCTGTAACATCCTTCTCATTCCTTTACCTGCTCATCTCTGTCCCTCTCTTGGGCTAATGACACTCATGTGTCTTGAGTTTCATTTGTTCACGTTTATAAATGAATGTCAGGATGGATTGATGCTGTTAGCCTGAGTGTTAGTGTTAGCAGTTGTCTTCCTCACTGTTGATTTCTCTTAGCACAGTTACCTTCCCAGTGAATCCCAGGATCAGATAAACCTGTTCCCTCATTGTACCTTGCTTCCAGCCCTGCCAGTAGAAATGTATGTGACTGGAATTCACTGTGGGGGAGAGGCTCTGGGAAGGCTCTTCTAGCACTTGATGCCTGTCGAGGGATTTAGTTCTTTAGGCTTGGTGGGAATTCCTCTTTAGAATTAATTCATCCCAGCGGATAATCATACTACATGGTAATCACAAGATGAGAGCTTATGTGTCAGCTTCCCGTGTTCTTCTGACATTTGTAACTTCAGTGTGATTTTTTTTTTTTTTTTTTTTGCCTTGGTCCTTATTATTTTTTTGTTTGGGTATTAGGGAAATAGTAATAGTGCTAGAACTCATTATTTTCTCTTTTAATTATGTAAATGTTAGTATAATCATCACAGAAAACTTGAAAAGAAAGGCAGCTCATTGGTTCCATACATCTGTGAAAGCATTACCATTAATTAGAAAAATGTATTGATCTTCTTAAAAGTTGGTTTAAAATTGATGAGTAACCATGAGAAAGGCATCCAGAATCTGAGAATCAGGTGGTACCTGAGAAGATGGTTAGGCCCTTATTTTTGCTAAATTAGTTTGCAGAATAGTCTGGGGTCTTCAGTACAAGGAGATTTCTTTTCAGTAAGCCCAGCCTTATTTACATAGTAACTAATTTGGAAACAAGGTTTGAAAATCAGTCTCTTAAGAAGGTCATGATTTTCCTTATCCATTTTGCCATCTGAGAAGGAGTATTTAAGGGAACGCTGTATGGTACATAACATTGTAACTCGGATTTCTGATTTCTGCTTGTGTTTTTTTTTCTCCAAAGATTTTTTTGAATAAACAGCCAAATCCAAGAAAGAAGCTCCTTGTGCCTTGTGCACTGGATCCTCCCAACCCTAACTGTTACGTATGTGCCAGCAAGCCAGAGGTGACTGTGCGACTGAACGTCCATAAAGTGACCGTTCTCACGTTACAAGATAAGGTAAGTGCAGGGCCTGCTTTTCTTGCACAAGGTTGTACATTTTCCTTTTTATAAGAAAAACCAGGTTCCCTTTTGCCTTTTATGGTGTTATTGTGATAACAAACTAAAAACCAGACAGTTACTCTGAAATCTGACCACTGAGGTGTGTTGATTTGATGTCCTAGGTTGTTTTACCATCTGGTTTCCTATTGGGTTTTCTGTCTGTGGCTCCAGAATATGTGCCTCACATCCCAGAAAGGTATATTTGGCTAAAATATAGACCACAAGTGCTACATAGGTGGCATCATGTCTTAGCAAGCAAACTCATTGTTGCTCAGATAGCATGTAAATCCTGTATTTTTTGGCAGCTAGGCGGTATCCTTAAATGGTCTAGTGGTGGTCCTGATTCTGGTGTGTTCAGTCAGTCCCTGAGGAGATGCAGTGTTTGCACAACTGGATTCAGGGAAATGGGGAGTGAGGTTGTGGCCTGGCCTTTCAGTTCCTCCTAGTTTTTTTATTAGGGAAGATTTTAAAGGGCCCAAATGGGTGTTACTTCCCACTCTGGGGATCACTTCAGATTGTTCCTCTGACTATGTCCCTTATGGTGTTACATATTTATATACCTCCTGACATGAAGGAGGAGACCTGCTTGAGAATGAGTGGCCTTTTTCCCAAAACTGGTTACACAGGGCAGGTTGACTTGAGCTTATGTTTTGAATGGAGAAGAAGCAGAACTTGGTATACTGGCTGGCAGAGGGTGGTTGCCCCATATTCTTTCTTAGGAAATGATAATAGTAGGTGTCTACTCACTCTTGAGCTAAAGGTAATGTCATTGTTTGTAGGGTACTCCTTCAGAGAGTTCCTCCATTGTTGATGGGTTGGTTTGTTTTTAGGATCAGGTAGGATTTAACAGTATTATCACCCTTGATCAGCATTGGAATTTAAAGTGAGAACAGGAAAGGGAAGACTGTCTGCGAATCAGATTAATGAGAAATTCCCCCTCTGTAGAACATCTGCCAGCATGGGGTTGGCCTAGAAACTAAGATAAAATATGTCAGGTGTCTAGCTCAGTACCAAATCTGCTAGGAAAGACAAAAATACCAAGAGCCAGTCGAGGAGTTCTCAGTCCCTGTTTGGAGGAGGTTTACTCTTTATCAGTGGTCAAACATAGGGATTGATGGGCATGAGAAAACTGAGTGAATTCCCACTGCTTTCCTGCTTGTCCTAATGTACCTTAAAGAATAAGTTGGCCCCTGCCTAGTGGAAGGGGTCAGATAAGAGCCTTTATGGAGAAAAATGTCTGGGTCTTTTGATCTTTAATTCCGTGTGTTAATATTCTGATTTTTTGGTGGTTTTGTTTTGTTTTTTTGTAGATAGTGAAAGAAAAATTTGCTATGGTAGCACCAGATGTCCAAATTGAAGATGGAAAAGGAACAATCCTAATATCTTCAGAAGAGGGAGAGACGGAAGGTATTGGACATTGCCTTGTTGACCAGCTCCCCTCACGGGGATGGAGACTACCTGAGGGAAGGCGTGCACAGTAGTGCATCCATTCACTGCTTACCTTCCGTATTTCAGCTGCAAGGGGCGATGCTTGGTCATGGAAGTGCTGTCCCAAGGTGGCGTTGCCTTGGCGGGGTCGCCACAGTTCCACATTTGTGGGATTCAGTGTTGTCAGGATATTTGAGGGACTAGTTCTCAATAATCCAGTGTATAGTTAGCATTTATAGTGGCCACAGTGCTCTTGTCCACTTCCAGGGAACTGCCTGTATCAAGTCTGGGTAGGAACGCTTGTTCTTCAGAGACATTCTAGGTAGACTGAAAAGGTAAAAGAAGGAAAGAAAAACTGAAGAAAAAGATTTGTTAAATTATGTTTAAAAGTTACATAAATTTAAACATGAAAAGCCAAATTTAAAATACAGTTTATTACTTAGTGTGTGCCAGGCACTGCAGGTATAGGTTCCTTACAGTCTGTAGACACAGAGCAAATACAAAGCGGACTGAGGGCTATGAGGAGAGAGAGTAAATTGGGAGCCAAATGAGAAAGCAGTATCGTAAATGAGACTTGAGTGCGTTTGCAGGTCAGGAGAGAGGAGCATTTGACCATGCGGGAGAGAAAGGACAGGGAAGGCAGGAAGCCCCAGAATGGGTAGGTCAGAGGAGGTGGTGGCTCCAGAAGTTTGGTTGGAGGGATTATTCATCATTGGAGTATTCAGAATCCACATAAGAAAGGTTGGCTAAGTGCTTGTGGATGCGCAGCATGGTGTGCTGCACACTGGGGACACTGAGAGGAAGCAGAAATGACATGTGAGTGGTAGGACTAGTTTGGACTGATTAGATTTTGGGGGCCCCACTGGCTCTCCATTGAGAAATGTTGAAAATTTATGTTGAAAAATTCATTGAAATAAACAGCTTCCTCTTGTTTCTGAATTGTAAAATTTGCTAAAAGTAATATGTTGACTTTGTTATAGATAACATCTTTGCAAGTAGAATATGTTTTGAACAATTCTAAAAGTTGTTATTGACTCCTCCAGGATTCCAGATTAATTTGGCTTGAGAGGACAGGGTTCTCAGAATTTCTTACAATTTGGTTCCCTTGAAGTAATTTTAGTACTGAAATGTTCAGGGCTGAGTTCCTGAGTGCCTAATATTTTAGTGGGCTAGTTTTAAAATAACAGACACTAATTTTCTCTTAGTTCTGGAGGCTGAAAGTCTTAAGATCAAAGTGTTGACAAGTTTAGTTTTTCCTCAGGCCTCTCTCCTTGGCTTCTTAAAAGGACACCAATTAGGTTGGGTTAGGGTCCACTCCTACAGCCTCATTTTTAACTTAATTACCGCTTTAAAAACCATCCTCTCCAAGTCCTGTCATATTCTGAAGTACTGATGTTAGCGCTTCAGCATATGAATTTTAGGGAGATACAACTCAGTTTATAGCAGGGGTTTTACCTTTTAAAAACTAATGTGATTGCTCCTTGGAGATACAACTAAAGCATCTAAATTCCTTTCAAATTTCCTAGCCAATAATCACAAGAAATTATCAGAATTCGGAATTAGAAATGGGAGCCGACTTCAAGCAGATGACTTCCTTCAGGACTACACTTTATTGATCAACATCCTTCATAGGTAGGAACTGTTAATATTTTGAGTGTAAGAGATTATTTGAATATACAGACTTAAAGTAGAGAAAAAATGTTTTCTTGCCCTTAAACCCTCCTGTTCATTTGAAGCTGCACAATGTATGTTGTAAGGTGTAAGTTGGCTACCAAGTTTCCTGAGGTGTGACCTAAAGAAAAACTTGAGAATCCAGAAATAAAAAGGATAAAAAAATGTTTAAAGGTAACTGTCATCAGTGGTGGCTGATCAGAAAGACCTAGAGAGGGTAGAAATCCAGATGCTTGAATGGTTATAATCAAGGGTGTGTTCATTTTGACAATTGAACTAAAATTAAAATGTTTATTATTTTTAAAGATTCATTAGAAGAGAGAAATATTTCTCCCATAAAACAAATATTTCATTGTGATCTGTAGCAATAAGAGAACATTAAAGATTATCCTATATAGATTCCTGAATCTTTTTTTTTTTAATTTTTATTTTACATCCTGCATACTTTATAAAAAGCATTCAAAGTGGTTGCATCACAGGATATTTGCATATACCTATAGCATAGCTAAAATACAGATGGTCCTCCACTTCAGTATATTTCTGTTGAACAAGGTGCATTGTGGTACATGCTCACTGATACCCCTGAACTGCACCCTGCCTTGGGACTGTTGGTAGCATCTAACAGATCTAACAGATGGAAAGGCTGCCACCTGCGTCCACTTGTTTTGCCAGTGTTGTTATCTGTATTCAGACATACAAAGCTTGGGTAGCTGTTTTGAGAGTTTTACATTGTATATGCTTGGTTTATAAAAAGCATAAAATGACAGGAAAGACTGAGTGTGGGTTATTAGTAATAGTAAAGTTTCACAGAGTTATGCAGTTGAGTCATAAATATTGCTAGGGAGTGAGCTGTAGCCTCCGTTAGACACCAGTTGGATGTCAGTGGTGTGCTTGCGTTCAGCGGTGAGAGCAAAGACAATGGAAGGGCATGTACAATAAAATGGGAATTTATCAGATGGTGTCTAAAAGAGGAGGCATAATTAGGGTTTTTTTTTTTTATCGTATTTTTTAGCTCTCTGGGAACAGAACCCCCCCTTATAACATGTAAGTCTTTTGTTTGACTTTCATGCATTAAACTTTCATACGTGTTTTGGGAACTCATTACAAAAGCAGGGTGCTGCCTGTAAAGATGGGGGGAAAACTGAATCCATGTAAACTCTACCCCCAAAACACTGAATTGCTCTGGTCAAGATCAGAGTAGAGTGTATAGAGTCTTTTCACATAATAACTGAGGAAATAACGCCTAAGAATTTTTAGCTCTTTGACAATCAGAATCCAAATATTTGGTGTGTATGTAGTGTATACATTGTTTGAGTTTTGAGAATAGTCTCCGGTGCGCCTTTGCTTTTGTAAGCAGACATAGTGGTGGTCCAGTTTTATAGTGCGTGGTTCTCTTACAGTGAAGACCTAGGAAAGGATGTTGAATTTGAAGTTGTTGGTGATGCCCCCGAAAAAGTGGGGCCCAAACAAGCTGAAGATGCTGCCAAAAGCATAACCAATGGCAGTGATGACGGAGCTCAGCCTTCCACTTCCACAGGTGAGTCACGGCCCCAGCCAGCAGGTTGTTAATTACCCACCAGGCAGGACTGTGTAGAAACAAGCTGAGTATTTTATGAACGCTGACCATAAAATAGAACTCCACAGGACTGTTAGAGGTGTGTATTGGTTTGGTGTTGATTATTTCAATGGATCTTTGAATATATTAACTATGAAGACATGTAAGATTGGGTAAAATTCTTATGGAAGATAGACACACTGTTATTTCCTGTTAGTTTTTACAACTGGAAATGTTAGTGAGTTTTTGGTGTATAAAGATACTTCATTCTTAGTAGTGGTGGTTTTGTATTTTGAATGCCTGTTTGTAGAGGGCAGCAGGTCAGTGCACCCGCCTGTTTAGAGTGAACAGATGCTTGGTAAGTATAGAATTTTAGCATTTCGCAGTTTTCTCAGAACCAGTATGACTTTGGTAAAGTGCATCAGAGGCTGTTTCCCTGGGTTTTCAGTGTTGGTGCTTTATTGCGCTCTAAAGTCAGTGTTTACTGCCAGCCACCCCTCCCCCCACCCCTTCATTCTTTAGGGTCAGAAAACTTAAAGTTACTGATTTTTAACGTCTCTTTTCATTTCTCCAACGTGGTGTCTTTGGTGTTCTTTGGAATATGGTGGTTCTTGGTTCTGATGTTCTCTGAGAGATTTGAAGATGGACTTTGAGATGGTCTAGTGTGTGGGCCATGGTTCATGACCCTTCTTCCCCCCTCTGAAAGTAGAAAGATTCGTCGTCTCCTTTGAGGAAAGGACTGATAGTTTTTCAGAAATCACGGTATGAAATGTGCATTTATTGATCCACTACCGTGGGTGGGTTTTGGAGGCTGTAGCAGTGAGTAAGGTAGGTAGTTGGTTCAGCAGAGTGTGGGGAGTGGGGAACACAAAACCAGCTGTAGTGTAAGGTTAGGAGCATGCACTGTAGAGCCCACGCTGTGGGTTTGAATCCTGACCTCATCTGCTAGTGTGTGACCTTGGGCAAGTCTCTGTACCTCAGTTTCCTTTTCTGGAAAACGGATAATGATGTTATCTTCTTTATAGGGTGGTTGTGATGATTAAATGAGTTGTTATGTGCAAAGTGCTCAGAACAGTTCCTGGCACATTGTAAGTGCTGTATGTGTTGTTACTGTTTTTGTTGTTGTTTATTATTACTACCGCTGCTATGAATATTGGGATATGCACCCTCCCTTTTTCTGTTGGAGAAATAGAAACAAGGAACTGTAGTAATTCCTTCGAATTATATAATGCTTGTTACCATTTTTTGTTTTGATTAGAAGAGAAAATAGGTGCTTGTTACAGAAAACAGTAAAACAGTACAGAAATGTGTAAGGTATAAAGCAAAGATTCCCTGCGGGTAACCATTTTCCAGTTTGGTGTATGTTAGAAGAGTTAGCTTTTCACTTGTATAAAATTTTAGTGAGCTGCTAATAACTCCCACACTTTTAACCATTTCTTTCCTTTTTTCCTGAAATAAGCACAAGAGCAAGATGATGTGCTCATAGTTGATTCAGATGAAGAAGGTCCTTCAAACAATGCTGACATCAGTGAAGAAGAAAGAAGTCGCAAGAGGAAATTAGATGAGAAAGAGAATGTCAGTGCAAAAAGGTCACGCACAGAGCAGACAGAAGAGCTTGATGATGTTATAGCATTAGATTGAGCAGAAATGCCTCTCCGCAGAACCTCTTACTGCATTAGGCCTTCTGGGCAGAACCGGGTTATTTGTTATGTCCTTTGTTCCAAAGGGAAAAAATTGACACCAGTGACTTGAAGATGATTCTGCTCCCCTTGAAAGCATTCATTTTGCTAGAACTCTTAGAAACATTGCGGTGTGCTGTACTGAAAGTAGGAACATAGTTTTAAAACCCTTTGAGCAAAGTGTGTGCATAACCAGTCATGAGACGGAACAACACAATGCATGTCGCCTTTTTAATGTAAATACCCTTAGGTATCATTTAACAGGTTTAAAATATTGTGGTTTAGTAAAGTTGATACCTGGTTATAAATATTATGCCTTTATTTTTGGTTAGAAGAAGAATTATTTTTAGCCTAGATCTAACCATTTTCATACTCTTAACTGACTGAAACAGATTCAAAGAAGTATCGAGTGCTATGCATTGAAATTGTTTCTACATGTTAACTGGCACTATGTATATTAATGTAAAACAATTGTTAATTTACTCAAGTTTTCAGCTTGTACTGCCTGGTATGTCTGTGTAAGAAGCCAATTTTTGTGTATTGTTACAGTTTCAGGTTATTTATATTTGATGTTTTGTAAAACTCAGATCCGACTATACTGTACTTATGGACCAAATAAATGGCATCTGCATACTTGTTACTACAGGCCTGCACGGCTCATGTTTCTGCTGCCTTACGGGGTTTGTACGTTGTATTTACTGCAGGCATGCGAAATCCTTTCCTTTTAGAAAATTAACTAGTCCACTTAGAAAATGTGAAGGAAGAGACCTCTGTTGTTTGCATAGATGAGTCCTTTATACAAGAAAGCTTTTGATGGCAATATTGCTTTTAAAATTTGGATTGTGAACAGTTGGCCTTGTATTGAGAATATTTAAGTGATCTTTGGTCATACCTGGGAACTTGGAGTCTTGGATGTGAGATTCCAGGGAGACTGTCTTTCCTCATTCTGCAGTCTTCTCTGGGTTGTCCCCCAGTTCATTCAAGTCCCTTCTTCCATGCACCACTCAGGGCCCAAGTCCAGCCAGCAGATGTGGCCAGACCAGTGCTGGATGAGCAGCACTCACGTCTCTGCCCTGGACCTGGGAAGGCCTTGGCCGTTAGGCTGCTCTCCTCACATAGATGTGCTCAGAGTTTTCAGATAACAGAAACCCATGAAGTTTTTTTTCCCATTCTGTACCTCTGCTGGTGTTTTTGGCCCCAGTCAACGAAATTTCAAAGTGATAGTTCATTGTGTTCTACCTTGTGTAATTCTTACTCTGCCATCCAGCCTACTTGTTGGTACCACTTGTAAGTTCAATATGTAATCGCAGCCTTCAGAAAAGTCATGTTGAATAAACTCAGCCCTCAGGAGCTGCTGCTTGATGCGTCCAGGGTGAACTGACTTCCAGCCTTAAGATCCAGCGGCTAGATCCCCACCTACGACCCTGTAAGCCTATGAGGTTCATTTTGCCTTTAGATTTTCAGAAGGTTTCATTTTCCTCCAGAAAGAAAATTTTCAAAATTACAGAACCGAGTAACAGATAAAAATGAAATATCCTGGAATACCACCTCTCAGAAGCAAGTTTTAGTTAACTGGTCACTGATGATTACTGTCAATTGTGAAATTTTGAAATCTGGAAAGCTCTCCAGAAAACTTGAATTTTGAAAGTCTCTGCATTCCTTAAAACCTCACCCGTCACCCTGCCTTTTCAGACACAGTTGTCACAATGTGTTTCTGGCATTTTGTGTGTGTTTGGTTTTTTTCTTTCCCATTTGAATGTCATGGCATCAGGTGCCAGCTTCTTCTGTAGAGGTGTGTTTCTATCTTGGCAGATCAGTTTTCATCTGCAACAACTGTTACCACTTTTCCAGCCGTTTCTGTTCATTTTCTACCTATTTTTATAAAATCTGGGTTTATCAGCAAAGTAGGTCAGACTGCAGGGGTCTTGCTCAGCTAGACTAAGATTCAAGCTCCCTCCAAGTCCCTGGAGTGTGGAGGTACCTTAGATCCAGCCTTGTATTCCTGGTTTTCCCATGTGAGTCTTCTCAGGGGGAGCTGGGAGCAAGTCTCTTTTAAAGGTGTTCCCTAGCAGCTCCAGCCTGAAACACAGTCTGACAAACCATTATCCAGCCTCTTTGGGAGCAGTCTGGCAACTCAAGTTTACCTAGAGAATCCATTGTCCCAAAGGTCAGTGTGCATCCTTGGCACAAACCGTGAAGGGATTCAGTATTTTAATACAGACCCTGAGCCATTAATAAAAGAACTGATCAGGCAAGGACCATCAATGGATGCCAGGACCTTTAGGAAAAGGCTACTGGGAACAGAATCTTCACACAATGCTCAAATGTTGCCATATGGATAACTTGGAAAAACACAAGTCTTGACAATGGACTGATCTGTCATCACTGTAGTCAAGGGATCAGACCTCACATCGCCAAGGAACACCTGGAATTTGCTTCTTGATGAGATGGTGATACGCAGAATACACCACCACCGAGGCCAACAAAAAGTTATTAGCATCTAGACTTCCAGCTGACAGGAAGTAGAGGGGGTAGAGGAACAAGTTAAACATTAAGAGGAAACAATTGGACGAGTACAGAATGTGTGGCATTCTAGAACTCAAGTGTAAAATTAGTGACGAACAATCCTTGTGACAATTGGAAAGTTGAAAATGGAATAAATTAAATGATAATGGAATTATTTTCTTAGCTGTAGTAATGTTCTTGTTATATAAGGCGTTGTCCTTATTGTGTTAAGAAATGACGCTCAAGATACCTACAACTTTTAAATGGCTCAGCATAGTATCTAATGCAAGAAGGAAAAAAAGCAGAATTAACATGTATACATTGTTCATTGTGCCATCTAACTTTTTTCTGAAAACTTTCATAATAAAAGTGAAGATATATATTCTGTATTTTCCTTTGGTGCCTATGTGACTTTTGCAAATTTTGTATTGAGTATATACCCTATGATTGAAATCGGAAAGATAATAAAGATTGTTAAAATACCAGTTGGAATGAGAAAGTGTTAACAGCAGTGCTTGGGTCCAACATTGACGAAATCAGCTTTGCTCATCCTTGTTGCTAGGCTGTGACTTAGGAAGAAGTCTCTTTCATTTGAGCCTTCGGAGAACTAAGAAGCGGACCAAGTTGTTCCCAGTTGATTAAAGGTCCACTTAGAAGCTGCCAGAAAGCATTTGGTTCACAATCGATGTTCTTGTGACACACGTGTCTGAAGTGGGCTTGCCCTGTGGCCAAGGAACATGGGCAAATGTTAGCCTCCTACTGGCCTCTTATAATGTATAAAAAAATTAAAAAACTGTTAAAAGTAAAAACCCGAAGAAATCAGGGAAGAAAATTGTTGGCAAATATTTCTAGTCATTGTGGCCTGTAGACGTAGGTAGTGAAGATTTCTTATTTCCTTGCATCTTTCTTTTTCCCCCTCGCTATTTAGTTTTTAAACATTTTATTCCAACTGCCTGAAGAGTCATCTTTTTTTTTTTTTGGTGGGGGGGAAGGTAATTAGGTTTATTTTATTTTCAGAGAAGGTACTGGGGATTGAACCTAGGACCTCGTGCATGCTAAGCACATTCTGTACCACTGAGCTATACCCTCCCCCCTCCTTGCATCTTAAAATTGTATTCCTGAGGACTAGAATCCATTTGACCATTTTATATTTAGAGAAGTATTTTTATAAACACTTTCATACTGGGAATACATTATTTGCATTCTGCACATAGGGGGAACTCTTTTTTTCCCGCATCTGATTTAAAATAAATTCTAACTAAAAACTTATTTGAGAAATTTTGGAACTGTTCTCACTAAATAAAAAGCAACTGAGCTGGACTAGAGGGCTCTGATAATGCTGTGCAGTTTGCATAGATTTTGAAGCCAGTTATCGCCTGGAAAAGAGCATTGGAAGTTTTGCTAAATGTCTCTTCCTCATAACAGCTTTAAAGTTTTAAATCTTGCAACAAATGATGGCTTACTGCACAGCAAAAGGCTGAACAAAAATTTTACTAGAATTCATACAGAGCTTCGGGAAGGTCTCCAGGCTTTTAGAAATCTTCCAGAATTCACTTTCTCAGATCAGTCTTAGAAAAAATGTAGGCATTGTGCACACTGTCATTCACTCATTGTGTGTGTGTGTGTGTGTGTGTGTGTGTGTGTGTGTGTGTGTGTGTGTGTGTGTGTGTGTGTGTGTGTCGTCTCCTCTCTCTACCTCTCGACTACGTACGACCTCGCTGTCTCGTACCTACTCCGTCCGTCCGTCGGACCGACGACGACGACGCGACGTACGT